CTTTCACTAAAATGGATAAAGAATGAAAGGCTTTTATTGCATTCAACAATGCAATTGTTAGTTATTCCAGAAATTGCGTTATCGCATTCGCTTTACTGGGATTTGATCTGACATCATCAATATTTCATTTTATTTTTATATTTGACTTTTATTTCTTCTCTGTGCCACAGTAACACATGAGCTTGTAAATAGTCTGCTGAGCGTCAGCGCTGAGAGCCTGTTTCGGGCCAAGCTTCGAGCATCCCAGCTCTTCGGCCTTCCTCTAGCCGACATTGATGATCTGGTTCGTACTAGCGTGTTCAAACAATTAACAACTGATGAGCAAGGCATGACGTCAGCGCCGACTTCAGAGCCAAGAAGGATAAACGGCGGTCCCCCTGATGAGTCGAAGCTTCAAATCCAAACTTCCAAAGAAAGTCAGCTTGGTAAGATATTCATTTAAATAATGAGTTTTAATTTGAAGCCAAAGGTTCTAAATTTTTTTTCACTCTTGGTTTGTAACGGAAACAAATGTTTTCCTGAAAAAGATATATCTTTTCCTTGTATATTATTACAAAGGTGGGCGCATCTCTGGTTGTTAATGACAAAAGCCATCTGAATCGACTTTATCTTGACGCTAAAATGCCTGATAACACTATTTTTACTTTATTCCATTAGATGTATTCACCTTATTCCGTTAAGGTGATGAAGGACTGATAGTTGAATTCCAATCTTAAGGCGAGTAAGCCGCCTAAATACTATTAAAGGTATTCTGGAATGGCTATGAAGTTGGATCTACGAGTTTGTATCCAAGGCTCGTTTGTTAAAGCAAGGTTCATTATAGTTTTGCTTGCATTATTACTACACCTAAAATCATTTCCACTAAATCTAATAATTTGGCTACACAAATTATATATTCAAAAAACAAAATGACTCAGATCTGGTGGCCTTGTTGGCCACTCACAAGTTAGCTTCGCTAAGTATGTAGTCAACAATCTGCTCGTGTTTCTAGCCCAACCTTCCAATTTCCTGCTCGCGATTCCTTTCCCTCCGGTTAGCGACAGATCCTTGATCCAGGCTTCTTCTTTTTGCTGGTCTTGTTCTATTCTTGTTTTCCTCAAGTTTGCTTAGGCGTAGGCAAAGTTATCGCTAACTTTACATTCCTCCAATCTCATGTTCATTAGATTTGTCTCCCCAAGCATGTCAATGGCCTCGCCAATCTTCCGCTTCCTTGTGCTGTCACCGTATAG